GCCCTGGAGGCAGGCAAGAGGAGCGGCCTGGCCTTGGAGGGCAAAGTGGGGAGCAGGGACCATGTCCTGGATGGCAGTGATGGCCATGCCTGAGGGTAACATGGCCTGGCCCTGGAGGGTGAGGAGGGCACCAGGCCCCAGGCTCTGGAGGGTGAGGCGGGCACTGGACCCCAGGCCTTGGAGGGCAAGGAGAGGAGCATGGTCCAGCCCTGGGGAACGAGGGAGGGAGCGGGGTCAGGCCCTAGAGGGTGGCGAGGAGAATAGGGCCAGTCCCTGGAAGGCAGTGAGGTGAGTGGGTCCTAGTCCATGGAGGGCATGGAGGTGAGTAGGGCCAGGCCTTGGAGGGTGAATAGGGAAGCAGGGTCAGACCCTGGTTGGTGGCGAGGATTTCTGGGTGAGGCCCTGGAAGGCAGTGAGGGGAGCGGGGTCAGGCCCTGGAGAGTGTGGATGGGAGTGGGGTCAAGCTCTGATGGGCAACGAATGGAGGGGACAGCACCATGGATGGCAAGCAGGGGAGCAAGCATGGATGGCAAGGAGGGTGAGGAGGGCAGCGGGGCTCAGGCCCTGGAGGGCGAGGAGGGGAGCAGAGCCCATGCCCTGGAGGGCAGTGATGGCCGTGCCAGAGGGGAGTGGGGCCTGACCCTGGAGGGCGAGGAGGGGAGGGGGGCCTAGCCTGGGATGGTAGAAGGGATGCAGAGCTGGCCCTGGAGGGTGAGGAGGGGAGCAGGGCTGGGCCCTGGAGCCTGAGTAGCAGAGCGAGGCCCGACCCTGGTGGGCATCATGGGGAGTGGGCCCAGGTCCTGGAGGGTGTACATGTGAGCGGGGCCTAGCCCTGGAGGGTGAGGAAGGCAGCAGGGTTGGCCCTGGAGTGCAAGGAGGAGAGCAGGGTCAGACCCTGGAAGGCAGTGAGGGGAGCATGGCCCATGCCCAGGACAGAAGTGAGGGCCATGAGAGAGGGGAGTGGGGCCTTGCCCTAGAGGGCATGGAGGTATGCAGGGCAGGGCCATGGAGGGCTAGGAGGGGAGCAGGACCTGGCCCTGGTGGGCGGCAAAGGGAGCGGGGCCCAGCCAGCCATGGAGGGAGGAGAGTGGAGCAGGGCCTGGCCCTGGAGGGCGAGGAGGGAAGTGGGGCCCGGCCTTCTTGGGCAAGGAGGGGAGTGGGGTCCTGCACTTGAGGGCAGGCGGGGGAGCAGGGCCCTGCCCTGGAGGGCAGCAAGATGAGCGGGCCTGGCCCTGGAGGGTGAGGAGGGGAGTGGGGCCCAAGCCTTGGAGGGCAGTGATGGCCATGTCTGAAAGGGGCAGGGCCTGGCCCTGAGGGTGAGAATGGGAGCAGAGTCCAGCCTTGGAGGGCGGCATGAAGAGCGGGCCTGGACCTGGAGGGTGAGGTGGGGAGCGGGGCCCATGCCCTGCAGGGCCCGATGGCCATGCCTGAGGGGAACAGGGCCTGGCCCTTAGAGGGTGAGGAGGGCACAAGGCCCCAGGCCCTGGAGGGCGAGGAGGGGAGGAAGGTCCAGCCCTGGAGAAAGAGGAGGGGAGTGGGGTCAGGCCCTGGAGGTGAGGAGGGGAGCAGGGCCCATGCCCTGGAGGGCAGTGATGGCTGTTCCTGAGGAGAGAAGGGCCTGGCCCTGGAGGGTGAAGAGGGGAACAGAGCCCAGGCCTCATAAACAGGCATCGCTGCCAATCAGGGCATGGACCTCGCTCCCCATGTTGCCCTCTAGGGCCAGGCCTTGCTCCTCTTGCCGCCCTCCAGGGCCGGCCCCTGCTCAACCTGCCACTCTCCAGGGCAGGACCACGCTCCCCGCCTCACCCTCCAGGGCCAGGCCCTGCTCCCCTCCTTGCCCTCCAGGGCCTGGGCCTGCTCACCTTGATGCCCACCAGGGTTGGGCCTTGCTCCCCTACTCACGCTTCAGGGCCCAGCCCTGCTCCCCTCTTTGCCCTCCAGGGCCCTGCAGCCCTCCTTACAATCCTGGGCTAGGTCCCCCTCCCCTCCTCACCCTCCAGGGTCAGGCCCCACTCCTCTTGGGCACTGCCATCACTGCCTCCCGGGCATGGGCCCTGCCTCCCTCCTAGTCCATCAGGGCCTGTGCCCCATTCTCTCCTTAGCATCCAGGGCCTGAGCCCCAAGGCCCTCCTCACCCTCCAGGGCCTGAGCCCCATGGCCCTCCTCACCCTCCAGGGCCTGAGCCCCACGGCCCTCCTCACCCTCCAGGGCCTGAGCCCCATGGCCCTCCTCACCCTCCACGGCCTGGCCCCATTCCCTCCTCACCCTCCAGGGCCAGGCCCTGCTCCCCTCCTCATCCTGCAGGGCCTGGCCCCACTCCTTTCCTTGCCTTCCATGGCCCTGGCCCGCTCCACTCGCTGCCCTCCAGGGCCTGACCCCGCTCCACTCCACGCCCTCCAGGGCCTTACCCCGCTCCCCTCACTGCCTTCCAGGGCCTGGCCCCGTTCCCCTTGCCACACTCTAGGGCCTGGCCCCTCTCCCCTCCTTGCCCTCCAGGGCTGGGCCCTCCTCAACTCCTTGCCCTCCAGGGCCAGGCCCCATTCCCCTCCTCAACCTCTAGGGATTGGACCCTGCTCTCCTCCTCACCCTCCAGTGCCAGGCCCTGCTCCCCTCCTCGCCTTCCAGGGCATGGACCCCCCCTCCCTTCCTTGCCTTCCAGGTCCAGGCCCTGCACCTCTTGCTGTCATCCAGGGCCAGGCCCTGTTCCCCCTGCCACCCTCCAGGGCCGGGCCCTGCTGCCCTCCTTGCCCTCCAGTGCCGGGCCCTTCTCCCCCAGCTGCCTTCCCGTGCAGGACCGCGGTCCCCTACTCACCCTCTAGGGCCGAGCCCTGCTACCCTCCTTGCCCTGAAGGGCCAGGCCCCATGCCCCTCTTGAACGGGCATCGCTGTCCTCCAGGGCATGGGCCCCGTTCCCCTCTCTCCTTCCAGGGCCAGGCCTCGCATCTCTTGCTGCCTTACAGGGCCAGGCCCTGCTCCTCCTGCCGCTGTCCAGGGCCTACTCTGCTCCCCTCCTTTCCCTCCAGGGACAGGCCCTGCTCACCTCCTCGCCTTCCAGGGCCTGGGCCCTGCTCCCCTCCTCGCCCTCCAGGGATTGACCCTGATCCCCTCCTCGCCCTCCATGGCCTGGGCCCAGCTCCCTTCCATGCCCTCCAGGGCCAGGCCTCGGTGCCCTCCTCGCCATCCAGGTCCAGGCCCAGCTCACCTCCTTGCCTCCAGGGCTGGGCCCCACTCCCCTACAGACCTCCATGGGCAGACCTTCCTTCCCTCCTCAACCTCCATGGCCCTGCCCCACTCCCCTCTGCACCCTCCAGAGCCTGACCCTGCTGCCTTCCTCACCCCCCAGGGCTGGGCTTTGCTCACCTCCTCGCCCTGCATGGCCTTGCCCCACTCCGCTCGCTGCCCTACTGGGCCTGACCCTGCTTTCCTCCATGCCCTCCAGGGCCTTACACTGCTCCACTCACTGCCTTCCATTTCCTTGCCTGGATCCCCTTGCCACCAACCAGGGCCTGACCCCACTCCCCTCCTCACCCTCCAAGGCCTGGCCCTGCTCACCTTTATGTCCTCCATGGCCAGGGCCCTGATCTCCTCACTACCTTCCAGGGTCTGGCCCTGTTCCTGTTGCCCTCCCGGGCTTGACCCCGCTCCCTTCCTCAACCTCCAGGTCCAGGCCCCCCACCTCTCGCTGCCTTCCAGGGCCAGGCCCCACTCCCCTCCTTGCCCTCCAGTGCCTGGCCCTTCTCCCCCAGCTGCCTTCCAGTGTAGGACCCTGGTCCCCTCTTTGTTCTCCAGGGCTGAGCCCTGCTCCCCTCCTCTCCTTCCAGGGCCAGGCCCTGCATCTCTTGCCACCACCCAGGGCCAGGCCCTGCTCCCCCTGCCACCTTCCAGGGCCTACCCTGCTCCCCTCCTTGCCCTCCAGGGCCAGGCCCTGCTCACCTCCATGCCCTCCATGGCCTGGGCCCAGCTCCCTTCCATGCCCTCCAGGGCCAGGCCCCAGTGCCCTCCTCACCATCCAGGGCCAGGCCCCGGTGCCCTCCTCACCATCCAGGGCCAGGCCCCGGTGCCCTCCTTGCCATCCAGGTCCAGGTCCAGCTCACCTCCTTCCCTTCAGGGCCAGGCCCTTCTCCCCTCCTCACTCTCCATGGTCCTTCTCTGCTCCCCTCCTCACCCTCCAGGGCCAGGCCCTGCTCCCCTCCTCACCCTCTGTGGTCCTTCCCTGCTCCTCTCTCCACCCTCCAGGGCCAGACCCTGCTCACTTCCTTGCCCTACATGGCCTGTCCGTGCTCCCCTTGCCACCCACCAAGGCCAGGCTCTACTCCCTCCTCAACCTCCAGGGCCAGGCCCGCTCCCCTCCTCACCATCCTGGACCAGGCTCCCCTCCCTTCACCGCCCTCAGGGCCTGACCCTCTGGCTTCTGTGCCCTCCAGGGCCTGGGCCCAGCTCCCCTCCTCGCCCTCTCAGGCTGGACCCTGCTCCCCTTGTTGCCCTCCAGTGTGGAACCCCACTTCCCTCCTCGCCCTCCAGGATCCGGCCCCACTCCCACACTTGCCCTCCAGGGCCTGGGCCCTTCTCCCATCCTCGCCCTCCAGGGCCTGACCCTGCTCCCCTAGCCTCCCTTCAGTGTGGGACCCCACTTCCCTCCATGCCCTCCAGGGCCTGCCCCTGCTCCCTCTAATATTTCTAAAACCTATAATAAAGTTGATTTCTGAACTCTGGAAAATTGAAATTGTGTTAAGTAAAATGCAGATCATGCATTGGGGAGATCATGTGCATTTGGTCATAAAGTTTATAATCACTGTCTAGTTATAGTGGAGAGTGAACATGATGCATACAACTATGGTAAAGTCTGAACGCCTGAATCTAACACTGAACTGTACATGTAGTGTTAATGACCATGCTAAATTCTAACAGCATTTGAATCACTAGAAATATTGAAAAGCACCCAAATATTTATAAACCTCAGCATCTGTATTCACAGTAATGATGCTAAAAGTACAATGTGTAACATTTCCCAGTACGCGTTTATATGCATTTCCCTTTCACAAACACACATGAATGCACACACGTACAAATCATAGAAGCTTAGGGGTTCAGAAACAAATATTTATGGACTTTAGGCCTTCATTATAGTTTATTGACAATTGAAAATAACCAAGTTTAATACTAATTTATATGTGTTGACATTTTTGTAACTTTGAACCCACTATGCTTTCCAGCATGATTAGCAAGCCGACATCTGCTACATCTTCAAAGGGACTCTTAAAAATCGAAAGTTTACAGTGGTGCTTAAAACAATCAATACAAAGTAGGTGGTTCTGAGAATGTCTATAAATAGTGTCAATTGCTTGGCTTCCAATGCATTTGATTGTTCTCCAAGCAGTGTGGGAACAGGGTATAAACTGCCCACTTTCAGTTAAAATAACTAAAATTGATTAATTGGTGTAATGCTAGTTTTTTTTTTTTGTGGGGGATATACAATATATATTTTAAGTATGTTCTTTCAAATTAGTGAATATAAGTATGTATTTCCTAAAAATCAGAACTTAATCCAAAACAGGACATGATTTGGGGACATGAATTTTATTAGATGTTGCATTATATTAGATTTTTGTAGAATGGCAAATATTTTATTTATAGCTACCAACTCATAAAACATTTGTTGTGGAACAGTGTTTGTCTATATGCCTGGCATTGTAGAATGACAGGTACACAGTGCACTTAATAAACTGAAAGTTAAACTCTAAGTTACATCTTACTCAAACTGATTGTGCATCATATTGTAATTTTTCCTAGATATTCCATCATTGTGTTTTACTATTCATTTCTGTGTTACTGAGTTGTGTATTTTAGTATTTTCTTTAGAGTAGAAAAAAATACTCTGTTGCATCTCAAAGATTAAGGATAATGTTGAACAATTTAAAAGTCTCAAAACTATAGAATCTATTTCTTGGAGTAGTAGATTAATTTTGGGGTAAGAACGCTTCGAAATGAAGATGCTTTATTGTTGAAAGCCATCAATAAATGAAAGGAAGAATGTAAATAAAAATGGGAATATTTTCCAGTTCTGTGTAAATCTCTAAAATATTTGAAAAGGAAAACCATTAAGTGCAAGATATGACAATATATAAGTTTTCCTTCAGATTAGAAATTTGATGCTAAATATTTAACATTTAATCTTTATTTAATAGTAACTATGAATGGAGGCCATTATGTTGACACCCTGTAAGCTGATTTCTACTCTTAAACTGAAAAAAAAAAAAAACATGTTTTGTTCATTACCCCTTTTCCCTCTGTGCTTGAAAACATTGGCTTTTATCACAACACTGGAAGTATATCGAAGCCAGGAGCCAGGAGCCTCCTCCAGGTCTCCCACGTGGGTGCAGGGGCCCAAGGACTTGAGCTGTCTTCTACTGCTTTCCTAGGCCACAGCAGAGAGCTGGATTGGAAGTGGAGCAGCCAGGACTCAAACCGGTGCCCCTATTGAAACCTTAAGTTTTAGCCTTCCCAATAAAAATAAATCTCAGCATCATTTAAAATGTTGGCTACTGCCATTGAGTGAACACAATGAAATTTGACAAAACGCTTTACTTGGGTGTAAGATACCATTCTCTGAATCAGGTTTTATGATTACCTAAGTCATTTTTCATCCTTGTTTTATGAATATAAACATCGATACATTTTCTTAGCTTCAGATTTTGAACATTCCAGTGATGTAGCTCCTGCTAACGAAGTGCCTGAATATTTTGGTACCTCGTAGCCTTTAATGTGTGATATCTGGTCATATACACATGGGATCTATTATAAGTTAGAGATAGTTTCCATAAATAGAATAATATTTTGGATAACCACTGATGAATTGAAGAATCTATTTCCTCTTCAAATTTTTTTTATTTTAAGGCAATTTTGTGAAATTGAATTTTACCTATAGTTTTATTTGTCTTTGTGTCCAGGTAAAGTAATAAATAAAATAGCTCCAATTATACCAAGCACCTGCATATGTTTCTAACTCTACCGTTTGAGGTAAGTCAGCTTGAGCATGTCCCGAATTGCACATCTCTTCCCTCTCTTATTCCCACTCTTATATTTAACAGTGATCACTTTTCAGTTAAGTTTCAGCACTTAAGAAGAATTGTGTATTGATTACAGTATTCAACCAAAAGTATTAAGTAGAACAAACAAAAAAAATACTAAGAGGGATAACATATCAAGTTGCTCATCAACAGTCAGGGTGAGGGCTGATCAAGTCACCGTTTCTCATAGTGTTCATTTCACTTTAACAGGTTTCCTTTTTGGTGCTCAGTTAGTTGTCACCTATCAAGGAGAACAAGTGGTATTTGTCCCTTTGGGATTGGCTTATTTCACTCAGCATAATGTTTTCCAAATTCCTAACAGGGATCACTTTTCAGTTAAAATTTAAACACCTAAGAATAATTGTGTGTTAATTACAGAGTTCAACCAATGGTACTAGAACAAAAAAAAATACTAAAATGGATAAAGTATTACATTGTACATCAACAGTCAGCACAAGAGCTGTTTGAGAAACAGTGACTTGACCATGCTTGTATATTTTCACTAAAAATCATTAGAATACTTATTTTGAAAAGCTGAAGTCTTAGGCATTTGGATGAATATACAAAGGAATTTCAAAAAGTGGAAAACAAAATTAAAAGTTCATCTTGGTGCAAAAAGTTTTGAACACAGTGAATAATTTTTTTCAAAACACACACTTTCCCTAAACAGTTTGAAGACACTTCATACTTCAGCTGCCATCAAAACAAAAGTAGAAAAATAATTTTTTTCATTCCAGTCAATGAAGCTGGATTAATACAGTGATACTAACTTGACTATAAAAATTTTTATGTATAAGTCTACCATGATGACACTATTTTAATAGAAATATTTATAATCTGGAATTATTTTTTCAGATTGTGTTTGCTCATCTTGAGATGAAGATAAAGAAACATGTCTCCCCCAAATCTTCCTCTTATTTCAACTCACTCCAATCTTCTTAGTATATTTGAATGGTAATGGAAATGTGTTGACTTTTGGAGTTCTGTACTTGTCCTTCCATTTTCTACAAGATGTGTCCATTATGTATCTGTTGTCTTTTTTGTTCCATTACTAAATTTGTGGAATTTTGGTATGAAATATGCAGTGTAACTCTCAAAGAAAATAGTATATAAGGCATTACAATTACTATGAAATCATCAAAGATTTTTCCCACATAAATATGTGTATATAACTTTATATGCATATATTTATATGTGTAAATGTGTATTACTATTTATAGGTACATGGCTCTTATTTTCCACTATGATGTCTATTTTAAAAATTAAAATGGAAATCATTTGTTGTGATGCACCTGTTAAGCCATTATTTGGGATGTCCATGTAGTGAAAAGTGTCTGGATTCCAGTAACACCTCCACTTCCTATACAACTTCCTGCTAATGCTCACCCTGGGAGGCATCAGATGATAGATGAATTACTTGGGTCCCTACCACCCAGGTGGGAGACCTAGGTGGAGTTCTTGGCTCTTGACAATGGTATGGCCCACTCCTGGCTCCTGTGATTATGGGGAGTGAACCAATAGATGGAAGATAATCTCTTTCACTCTCACTGTCTCATTCTGCCTTTCAAATGAATAAAAACAAATAATATTTTAAAATTAAATGGTAAAATATCATATGGTGAGAAAGAAAACCAACAGACATACTTTCTCTTAAATACAAAGTGGTATTCCTAAAATCCGTACCTTCTTCTTAGAATTTTCTCATGTGAAATTGCACATGACAGATGGATGCTGGTATTACAGAATTACTGTACCTCCTCTCCTAGAGAAGAACATAAGCATGGATTTCAATAACTCTATTCCTCCCATTTTTTGTTTCCTGTCAAGATTATTTTGCATGAACATTTCAGTCTTGGTGACAGTGATTATGATGATGACTTATGTGTTTTTTTTTTTCCCCATCTGGAATGGTCAATGGAGAAAATATCCCTATGGAGAATCTTGAAAGCCTCATTATTCCAATATCACAAATATGAAAATTGAGACACAGAAAAGTGTGGTTTTCCCAAATTCACACAAAAACTCAGAAGTGAAGCCAAGAGTAGTACCCAGCTCATGTGCAACAAATCTAATGCAACCTGCACTGTCAAGCTCACACGGTGATTAGGTTGAGTAGTGTAATTACCTAAAGTACAGGGCAGTAAAATAGCGCCCCATTTACCAACCCAGTCACAGCAAGTAGAGGAATTACGTGAATGAGAGTCACCATATGGATGGTGCTCACACATTTCACAATCCTGTACTTTACCTTCTTATCCTGAATGCTCTATAAACAGGAGTTTGAGATAGAATTCGAATAAAACAAACAAACAAACAATCTCCAATTCTGGAGCCAGATAAAGACATAGGTGTTTAAATCCTGGGGTTAGAGTTTCCATCTGTGTCATGTTCATGTAAACTTTACCTCAATTGTCTCATTTATAACACAGAAATAATATTCACAACATGAGGGGAAAGTGTATTAGAAATAAAGCACATGTAGCACATATGCTGTAACATGATGCATGCAGTGATCCTTATGAGTAGTAAGCAGTAATAATATGTCAGTTCTCATCAAATATTTTTTAAAGATTTATTTATTTATTTGAAAGGCAGAGAGTTACAGAGAGACAGAGGCAGAGAGAGAGAGAGAGAGAGAGAGAGAGAGAGAGAGAGAGAGAGAGAGAGAGAGAGAGGTCTTCCATCCGCTATTTCACTCCCCAAATGGCAGCAATGGCCAGAGCTGAGCAAATCTGAAGCCAGGAGTCTGGATCTTCTTCTGGGTCTCCCACATGGGTGCAGGGCCCAACAACTTGGGCCATCTTCCACTGCTTTCTCAGGCCATAGCAGAGAGCTGAATTGTAAGTGGAGTGACCAGGACTTGAACTGGCACCCATGTGGGATGTTGGCACTTCAGGTGGCGGCTTTACATGCTATGCCATAGTGCTGGCCCCTCACCACTGAACTTTAAATAAAATTTTTACTATATTGTATTATTTTTGTCAAATGGACTAGTGTATAGATAGGTAATAAATGAGACATGATGTTAATTGAGCCCAGCAGTGAAATCAGTGACAATCCCTAGTTAAGAATCATCTCAATTTCAGTATTGAATTGTGTAAATGTCTAAGGAATTTATACTAACTTTTATGAATCATGTGATTTGAAGGTTACAGATATAAATATGTCTTTGGAAATTTGAGTTATTTCTCATCACATTCCCATTGGCACTGTGTATTCACAGAAATTGAGATTATTTCAAATATGAAAATGCAGAACATTCAAAATATATTTGGTGTAAAGAATGAAATATATTTGGTGGTGAAGCAGACCTGTCCCTATCAGATACAAAGATCTGGTATAAAATTACAGCAAGAATGAAAATATGATGTTCTCACAGGTAAAAACTGACCCAGGGACAGAACAGAGTAGAGCAGAAAGCTGTGCATATGAGGGGCCTTCAAAAGCTCACGGATGGGGCCAGTGCTGTTGTGCAGGGCACTGAGCCTCTGTTTGTAACACCAGCACCCCATGTGGAGCACCAGTCTGAGTTCTGGCTGCTCTGCTTCAGATTCAACTCCCTTCTAATGCACCTGGGAGAGCAGCAGACAATGCCCTGAGTACTTACTCCCTGCCACCCACATGGGAGACCCAGATGTGGTTGTGGGCTCATCTGACTGTTTGGGGGAGTGAACCAACAGATGGAAGATTTTTCTCTTTCTCTGTTTTTCTCTGTCTCCATTAGCATAACTTTCAAATAAATAAAATAAATCTTGAAAAAAAAAACCCTCAGAAACCTCTTGGAACACAAGAAGTTATCATTTAATTCCATTTTCTGTGAGCTTTTTGAAGCCACTTTCTACATGGAAGCTTTATTTATGATGGAATTGAAACAGTGATCACTGAGAAAATGGTGACTTTTGTAAAAAGCTACCTAGAACAACTTGTTCTTTTTAAATATTTACTTATTTGAAAGAGTTACACAGAGAGAGAGGGGAGGGAGGGAGAGAGAGAGAGAGAGAGAGAGAGAGAGAGAGAGAGAGAGAAGGTCTTCCATCCACTGGTTCACTTCCCAGTTGGCTTGCAATGGCTGGAGCTGCACTGATTCAAAGCCAGGAGCCAGGAGCCAGGAGCTTCTTCCCAATCTTCTCCATGGGTACAGGGGCCCAAGGACTTGGGCCATCTTCTACTGCTTTTGCAGGCCACAGCAGAGAGCTGGATCAGAAGTGGAGCAGCCAGGTCTCGAACTGGCACCATATGGGATGCTGGTGCTTCAGGCCAGGGCGTTAACACACTGCACCACAGCACCAGCCCCAAGAATAACTTGTTATTCACACAGAATAAATGGAAGCAATTGCTTTCCTCTGTATACTAAAATCAATACTTCCTGGTTTGACAGGTTCAATTTGAAACGCAAACCTTAAACTCTTTGAAGATGTAGAATACATTTGTGGCCTCAGCAGAGAGTATCCTTCAATAGCTCTAACCATTAAAGAAACAGTGTGTAAATATAAATACATTAAGAGCTTCTGATCATCAACAAATACTCCAAGAAAAGGGGAGGGCACAAACAGAGAAGATAGTAGCTTCCATACAACTGAAGGTATTAAATTAGGACTCAGACATTTTAAAGTCCATAAAGAGTAAGATTAATTTTAAAAAGAATTCATATCAGATACATGGAGGTATTTCATAGAAGCACTACAGTGGGCCATTATTTTTTTAAAAAACAAAGTTAATTTATCTATGAGAAATGAGAGAGAGAGGCCTTCCATACACTGGCTCACTCCCCAAATGGCAGCACTTCCCAGGTGCAGCAGCAGGGAGTGAATTGGACACAGAGCAGCCAGGACTCCTGGTGCTACAACATGGGACATGGACACCAACTCTGGATCCTAAACTCTTCAAAGATACTTGACTCCATTAGAAAACAGGAAAGGCAAGATAAAAGCACAGTAAGATAACATTTATTGTCATTGTGTTGTAAAAAAAAAAGTTGAACCTGGTAAATCCAAATGCCGGCAAAGATTTGGGTGAACTTGAACCTTTATGCCCTGGAATGAATAAGAAAACTAAACTGATACAACCTTGGGAAACATTTTTTTTTTCACATTAGTGTGTTAAGATGAACATTCACATAACATTCAACCTATTGAAGCTCCTGGCTACGTATCCACATAGGTCCCATCACAGGTTTATCATGCAAGAGCAGAACCAAATACCTTGGAGACATCTTGAATGATAAGCCCTTTCTTGTCTACTTCTCTTTATTATTGTGATTTTTAATTTTTAAATCCACAAAGCAAAAACTGGGAGGTAATACTACATGAATTCCCTTTGTTGTTAAATATGAAAGGTAATCATTTGTGTGCATCTTGTGAATGTTTATAAATTATTATCACGAACATGCAACCTGATTAAACTCAGGGTGGGATTATTTTTATATTTACTCCTCTTCCATGGTGTCTTCGTGTAAGCCTTTGAGAATCTGGTTCTCCTAGGTAGACCAAAAGGAGAAAGCACTTGAATTTAATGTTCTGTTTTGCTTCGTGTGTTTCCTTTCTTTGTCCAAGGTGAAAGTGTGGTTCCAGAACAGGAGGATGAAGTGGAAGAGGGTAAAATTGGGCCAGCTGGGCACTGCTGCCTGAGAAAAGGAACTGGTGAACGTGAAGAAAGGAACCCTGTTCCCTTCAGAGATATCAGGGATCGGTGCAGCCATGCTCCAGCAAACAGGGGACTCTCCGGACAATGAAGACAGCCACAACAGCGACCACAGCTCAGAGCATGCACACTTATGATCCACACAGACAGGACCAACTCCATCCTCAGGAAAGAAGCACCGTGATGGCAAGTCTTACCCAACAGAGTTTTCACAGAGAGATGGCCATGGCCATGATTTTTAATATTATCAAATTCAGGCATCATGGGTCTGTTTTGCATGATTTATAGAGGATTTATACTAAGTGCCACTTATCAAAGATGCTTCCATGATGAAAATCAGAAGGTGAATTTTCTTTGAATAGTCAGAGATGTTTGGTTGTATGTATGACAGTGAGCAGGTATGTTTGCCTTTGCTTGTACTGAAAAATTAAATGGGTACCCAAGAACAAATTATGACACATTTCTACACGAGATGCCTCCAGAGTGAAATCGTTGAAGATGAACTTGCTTTAAACTCTCAGCTGATGAAAATAGGCACTGATAATGCCAGCCAGGCCAGCTTCCTGCCTTTTTATGCATGTGTCATTCTGAGACAATCCATATGTGCTTACTTGTGTACAAGTAGAGAAACATACAGTAGATAGAGTCTGATATGACATATTCTTGTACCACAGACAAAACAAACATTATGTTGCATTTACTATCAACTGCTGCTAATAAGTTTTTATACAACTTACCTAGCTCCTCCTTGATTCGTCCTATCTTGTAGCTTGAAAAAAAAATAGGATCATAGGCAAATCAGTTACTTTGTGGAAAGAGCTTTGTTGTGGCAGACACTGTGATTTTATTTCTATAAAATTAAAGCTGTTATGAATATGACTTAATTAACAAGAAAATGTTTCTTCCTTCTTAGAAATGGTGTCAGACAAGGAGCAAAGCCAAATGGGCTCCCCAAGGGGATAGACAAAACAATTCTGAATGTCTTCAAATTAAATTCAGTAAAAACACATTATTTTTTAATATGTGATGTATTCTTGCAGAACAACCATCTTTGTATTTTGTGAAAAATGTTTAATAAATGATCCTTTATAAATAATTTTGGTCTCCCCATTGTGATTTCCTTAATTTCTATAGATTTTAATATTCATATCTAAGAGTGCCCCAGACTCAAGTGCTCTGTGCTAATTCAGATCAAGATCATTAATGAATCAGTTTTTCATTTGTAGATTTATTATGGCAAGAAAAAAAAGCAATCTTTGGGTGATCGAAGAGAATCTAAACATCATCATACAGTAAACCATTTTCTTAATTTGAAGAATATGGCAAATTAATGTTTTTGTGTGTTTTACAAAGCAAAGAGAAAAGATAACACTAACTGCCACGACAAATAAGTAAAGTAGTCATATATTTTAAAATTTATGTTTAACATATGTGAATCAATCCAATAGTTGTTTTAAAGTCACACCAACCAGAGTCCTTGAGCTAGCAAATCAGAATCTTCATTGGAATGGACACCACAGGTATCAGAAGACAATGATTATAGGCTGGCGCCACGGCTCAATAGGCTAATCCTCCACCTGTGGTGCCGGCACATGGGGTTCTAGTCCCAGTCGGAGTGCTGGTTCTGTCCCGGTTGTTCCTCTTCCTGTCCACCTCTCTGCTATGGCCCGGGAAGGCAGTGGAGGATGGCCCAAGTGCTTGGGCCCTGCACCTGCCTAGGAGACCAGGAGAAGCACCTGGATCCTGGCCATTGTGGGGGTGAACCAACGGCAAAAGGAAGACCTTTCTCTCTGTCTCTCTCTCACTGTCCACTCTGCCTGTCAAAAAAAAAAAAAAGTCAATGAGTGTATTAACTTAATACATTTCGTGTCATGTATGGTTGTACATGCATTGGATGCCTAAGACCTACTTACAACTATATCATGTTATTTTTTAACTGTTCCACATTTAACCAGAAGAATTTGGAAACATTACCATCATTCCTCCTTCCTCCATAGAAATAAACTGAAAAATAATTCATAAACATTTCCAAATTACTCATTATTTGATTTTATTTCAGAATTAGATTGACAAAAATATATTGATTCTATTCTAACTTAGTCTAGCAAGACATATATGAGTATTCAAGAAATACAGTAAATTATATTTTTGTATCATATTTTCTCTTTGTGAGATACATTTTATCACACTGGTAAACAATATATCTAATTTAATTTTGGGGAGAGCCTGTTCAAATTAAAGGTACAAAATATGCCTTTCTATCAATCACTTGAAGGAATTAAAATTATGCTTGTATTGAAGATATCTATTTCTTTTTGTAGAATAACTCTGCCTCTCAAAGAAAATAAATCTTAAAAAACAATTCTATAAAACTATTCAGTTAACATTTGAGGTAAGTGATACTTAGGTGAAAATATGATGTTTGCAATATAAATACAAACAACTGGCATAGTTATTATTTGAACCATCTGGGAAACAGTGTATTTTGCTGTCAGTCCCTTATGCTGCATTCTGTTTGTAAAAAGCAATTCAGAAATAGAAAGAAAGCCACAGAGAATTTAGCATGAGAGCGGTAGTCTAAACATTCCAAACCTGAAAACGTTTGAAGTCTGCAGAACTGATCTGCAAATGCTCTTGAGAAAGTGGTGTTTGTTGTGGTGGTTGTGGTTGTTTCCTGATTTCTTACCTAAAACTGGCCAGGAAAACTGAGTAATAATTCTCTCACGTGTACCTCAACGTTCACCCTTTGCCAAATAATGCTAACAGGCCTGGACAAAGGAACAAACGTGGTCCCAGAAAAAATAGATTGCTACATCAAGTTTTGAGAGCCTATAAAAATTCAATAAGAATTTTTGAAATAAATCTAATAATTCTCTATTACCATGTGTTTTCTCAATAATCTCATTTTGACATTTGATATGCTTAGATATAGATACATTTAAAAATTAAAAATAGTTTTTCTTGTATGCCTTATTTCCCACCTTTAGTAACTTTTTAAATTAAATCTGGCTTCAAACTGTGATCAAGAATTCCAGAAAATATTTTATTATATCATGGTTAGTAATTCCCCATTAGAATATTGTTTACTTTTTTAAAAATACAGTTTTCAGAAACAGTTCTTAAAACAAAATGAATTTTCAAAGATAATTATTGTCATATCCAGTTCCTGTTAGGGTCTTTATTTTGTATTTCTGCCCTTTTGGAAATGGTTCATTGAGATAAACATTCATTTCCTTTATTTAAAGACTAATCACATGATTTTAGAACACATTTTTGTAGAACTATTCAAGCATCCACTGCTTTTGCAAATGTGTAATACTGATGGTTGAAAATATTTTTACATCTTTTTTATGTTCAGTGTATATTGATATTGAAAATCCATCACTTATCTAACCTGATGAAACATGAAACTCAAAGTATTATTTTATTCAAGCTAATACTTCTAATTAAATAATTTGCTTGGCTTTCATTTTCTTTGTGAGAGCTCCATTTTCATTGGCTTTGCCAACATTGGAATTGGTAATTTTTGTGATCCTGGGCCTATGTAATGTAAGAGAGTGGTGTTTAAAAAGTAGTAAGCAGGAGCGAGCATTTGGCCAAGTGGTTAAGAATCCCCTTGAGACAACCTTGCTACAATGGAATGAGGGCTTCTGAGTGTTGTTTCCATTTCTGTCTTCAACTTCCTGCTAATGCAGACGCTGGGAGGCAGCACAGGAGGGCTCAAGGAATTGGGTTCCTGCCACACACACACACAGTAGAATTACTCTCTGCCTTTCAAATGGATACATGAAAAATAAAATATAGGAATATAAAACGTGGAGAAAGTTATGCCTAAAATTATCAGGCTTTAAAAACACACACCCTGTATATTCATTAGACAATCGGCTCCTAACACTGCTACACCTGCAGGTCCAATTGGGACTGTCAGATGGGCCAACATCAGCGTGACCAGTGCCAGTCCTGCCGGCTCAAGAAGTGCTTCCAGGGGGGTTGTGCAGAAGGAGGGTGAGTGGCCCCCAGCCCCGCTGCAGCCTGGTGGGGGCGTGCGGTAGGTGGGTGAATGGCACCCCAGCCCCGCTGCCTGCGGAAGGAGGGTGAGCGGCCCCCATTCTCCCTGCAGTCGGCCGGTGGGGCCTGGGGTTGGCACCTGCTAACCACAAGACCAGGGCCATTGCACCATGTACTGGCACAGGAATCCAATTACAGCTGTGGCCAGGGCCCGGTCCCCCTGCCCAGGCCTGGCCACTGCGTCCTGAAGAAATACACAGACACACACAGACACACACACATACATGCACACACACGCACAAACACACACGCACATACACACATTTATTTGGTTTCCGTTGCTCCCACCCCTGCCTCTGTTTGCTTAAGGCGGGAGCTGGGCAGCCTGAGCCCATGGGGACCCCACACTTGTTCTCTCCCCAGAAGCCCCGGCCTGGCCCAGGGCAGACACAGTCCAAGCAGCGCGGCCCTAAACTCCAATGCCCTGCAGTTTCTCCAGGCTCCACATGGGGAGGGGGGGCGGTGGTCTCGGGGTAGGGGTAGAGGGGGTTCCAGCCTCAGGATAAATGCGCACCCCATACCTGCTTTCTGTCTGCCGGTTCCTCCCAGGGTCTGACTCCAGTCTCTCACGCTTTTGAAGTCCTCCCCCCTCACTGGGTCTGTGAGGGAAGCTGATAAAGTCGGCACAGAACCCCTTGGAAAAGCCACTCCCTTCAGCTTGGGGGGTTCACCTGTGCCCCCTCTTCTCACGTGGCTGATCTGAAATCCCGCTGGCCCGGCCCTCAGGTTGGCGCGCCTACAGCCATGTGCTGCACCCCCCACCCCATGCGCGGCTTCGCACCATCACAGCTCACAACCCCTTACTTTGCTTTGGAACCCAATGACTTCTCCAGGGACTCTCTTTGTCTTGTGCCCCAGGGTCCCTGCATACAGTTGGCCCTCAGTAAATAGCCCATGGCTTCAGTTGCCACCAGGGTAGCTTTTCCTTCATGGCCAATACTGCTCTAAAGCAGATTTGTTAATTCAGGGGTTGGTGTAAAAGAGGGAGTTGTGGGTGGGATTTGAAGCCTATGCCCTAGCCTGGGCTGGAGGTGGAAGAGTTGGGGTGGGGGTTTGAAGAAGGGGGGGGTGAGCAGGTGCAAAGGCCCTGGGGTAGGATGGGGGGAGTGGTGCAGGCGGGGCTTATAACCAGGGCAGCACTTTTGGGGCCCATTTGGCCACTCCTACTGGACAGCTGACTCCCACCCTCGCAGGACTCAGCCCCACCTCCAGCCCCGAGTCCCCTCCAGGGCTGGTAATGTGCCCTGCGTGAGGCCGGCCCAAGGCTGGAGCTCATGGATTCGATCAGGCCAGGTGGGCGGGCTCATTAAGGCTCCTTAATTTGCCCTGCCTGGCAGCCAGCCCTCCCTGCCTCGGTTTCCCTCCTCCCACCTCACCTGCTTGCTGAGGGCGAGGCCCCTGCTCCCAGTCCCACCTGGGGAAGACCCCAGGCCCCCTCCCCACCCTGGGCTCTCCTGGAGCTGGGGTGGGGTGGGGACTCTGAGAGAGCCTAGCTCTGGCTGTCTTCTCCCTGCCCTTCTCTCTCTCCCTCCTACCGCCCCGCAGCGCTGCAGCGCGGCCATATCCCGCAATCGCTGCCCGGCAGCGCTGGCAGCCTCCTCTGGCAGCCCTCCTGGCTGGGCGCTGGCGCGGCGGCGGACAGAGGCTTGTTCCTGGTGCAGCTGCGAACGCGGCGGTGCGGGCGGCGGCGGCGCGGCACTGGGCATGGACCAGGTGAGAGCGCTGGCGGCGCGGCTGCTCTTAGCGCTGCCCCTGCCTGCACAGGGCGCCATCGCCGGCCGAGCGCGCGTGGCCTTCCTGGACCAGGAGCAGGTGGAGGAGCTGGGCCGCCTGCAGGGGGACTCGGTGGAGTCCGGTGCCTCAAAGTCATGGCGCTCTCGGCCTCCGCGGGCGCTGAGAGGCTGCAGGAGCAGCGCAGGTGGCTCTCATGGAGTATTGCGC